CTGCCCGGGCTCCTCTTTCATCCTAATGCTCCCTAATGAAAACTAAGGGCGCGCGCACGTGCGGCGGGCCGCGAGCGGCTCCCCCCGCGCCCGCGGAGCAGCTCCCCGCTCCGCAGCGCTCGGCTCCGAGGCTTCACGGTGGTAGAGAAACACAAAACAGGACAAAATGCAGCGAAGTTACGGCAGGGGGAAAATCCGGCTCCACCTTTACCCAGTGCTGCAGAAGGGAAAATAAAAACTCCCAAGCGATTCCCTCCGACGCGGTTCACAGGCTCCATGCGCAGCAGCGCAGGCGGCTTGGACACAGCGGCCTCCAAGGCCTCCAAAACGCACCTCAACCCGCGGGGACACCGAGTACCGCAGCGCCCGTGCGGGGCTCGGCGCGAAGAGCCCCCAGGAGTCTTCGCAAACTGCCCTCGGGGCAGGGTTTTTTTTTTATTATTATTTTTTCTGTTGCTGTTTTGTTTCACGACAAGCAAGCAACAAGATATGAAATCAAGTGCCCGTGGTGAGGGTAAACTCAGAAATCACTACAGAACACAACGTCGAAGAATTACAGCTGAGTACAGGCCCTTTAGCAGCAACGCAGTCCCCTTGAACAGGATCCTTTTTGGCTGCCCATTTAAAGTTATCTCCCTAGTTTTATAAGAACAAGTGGGTTTTCTTTTCCCACTGTTGTTGAATGAACTCATGTATATTAAACACAAAACCCCTCCTGAAGAACGCTAACTGCCTTCCCTTAAGCCGACAAAGACACACCAAAAATCAGAATTAAAGGTTTCCAATTCCGAATTAAGTCGCCTTAACGTTCCTAGGCTTGCAGAGCATAGAGTTTGAGACATTTTCAGTAAGTCTTAGTGGCTGAAAGAAGATATATTAAAGATAAACCTGTTATCTTTTGCTGAAGTTTAGGGTTCTATTTTATTTCCCTCTCTTTCACTCTCTTTGCATTGATTTACAAAAACCACAATGTTAAAAAAAAAGTATCCGTCCTTGAGATCACAAGTGTCACCTAAATCTAATGAAGTCCTCTCTGGGCATCGCACCGTTTTGATGGGATTATTCTGGCTCTTCCATGGAAGCCACAAGGCTGCCCAAAGGAGCTCTCACAATCGCAATGGCAACGCAGGAGACGCGGCCTGGGGACTTCAAGGTTGCTTCTCTCCTCGGTGATCCTCAACAAACCCGAGAATCCCGAGGCAGGGATTGAAAAGTACATAAATAAAAAAAAAAAAAAAAAAAAAAAGCCCTTTCCAGTGATTCACAGATCAGTGACACCATCGCCCGTAATGGGACCAAGACGGTGACTTTTATCTCGCTGCGTTCCTCCTAGTCCTTAATTTGGAGCTCATTGACAGGACAGGCGGTAATGACACTTGCAGAACTGTTATGGTCGGGAGTGACAAGCTCTCCATCTCGCCTATGGTTTATTGACACCATGGGCTCATTGTGTCAAGTTGGGCTTGTGATTTCTGGATCCTCTGGCGCCTGGCTTGCGGGGAGGGGGGGATTTTAATTCAAATTATAGACTAGCTCTCTATACTGGGGATTCATATTCAGACGGCGCTTAATCGGAGCAAGAGAGACGGCGCTGTAAATAATAACAACTACACTTGTTATGTGTCTATCCAGGGTCTTCCATCCAAAGAGCTGTGAAAGGCCGGAGGTGAGGGAGGGAGGCGAGTGAGGTCTCCTACACGTAGTTGCCCTGAGGCGGTAGAGACGGGCAGGGAGCCTCGCACCTTCACCCAGGCTTAGGCCGGGACCATAGCGGACAAGGGAAGCGTTTGAGTGACACAGAGCTGCAGCACTCGGGGTGGGATGCGGGTTCACGCCCCCCCCCCCCCCCCCCTTTTTTTTTTTTTCGTACGAATCCTTGGGATTTTGGTCCACTCCGCCCGTGGGGAGGGGGTCCATGGCCCTTCCCGGCCGCAGGGAGCTGCTGAGGGGCAGAGAGTGGTGGAGGGAACGCAAAGAGGAGAGAAAGCAGGAGCAGCCCCGGGAAGTGGCGCTTCGGGTCGCTTTGCTATTTTGTGAATTTCCCCCCTTGCTCCGCTGAGAAGGAGCTGTCAGGAAAGCCGGGGATCTGAAGGCTTCCTACGCCACAGCATATAAATAACGGAAAAGCACCCGCACTTCACCCCCAAGCCGGGGGGTGAAGGAGAAGGGGCGCGGGGCGATACTCCCCGTCTGCCGGGTGCCTGCCCAGTTTCGGAGCTTCCCGGATTCCCGGTATCTGCTCCCGGGAGCTCTCGGGAGCCCCGCGGCCGTGCCCAGGAGACCCAAGCCCCGCTCACAGCCGCGCTTCGGAGCCTCCATTTACGTGCCAGCCTCTGCCCCGGGGAGCAGGGGGCTACGACCCCGTAATACCCCCCTCGCAACTGCTGCGTCCAAGCGCAGCTCTAACAGCATCTCCCCCAGAACCGAGTTAATCACCCACGTTTCGGCAACTCGCTAAATTTTAGGTAAAGTGCCTCCTGACGTTAAAATGTGTATACCAGCTGCTCCATAAATATATATATTTTTCTCGTTTCCCGTGGTAATTGACTTATAATATCTCTGTTTATAGCCGGCTTGACAGATCTATAAAAATGTATATTTTTGCTTAATTTCAGAGTTATATATACCCAACGAATGCTAACTAAAGAATCAGTAAAGGAAATCTGGGAATTCCGTTGTGCAGGAAATCTGTGCAGGGCTCTTGCTATTATTTATAGAAAACGCCATGTCTTTATTTTAGGCGCTCTTACTACACAACTGCCTTATTAGGAATCTCAAGCGGAGATCAAACTGAGAGAATGGAGCAAGAACACTCAGCGTGACAATAATTTTTTAAAATACTATTCACATATAATTTCCAAAGAGAAAAGTTTATTGTGAGCCCAACAACCATAGGATTCATTTAATAGAAAAAAACTGCGGCATTACGCCTTCCATCCAGGCTGTCAACAGGAGATACAAAATAACCCCAATTTGGCAGAAATAATTTGGTTTCCATTAGTGTTTCTTTTCGCAGGCAATACGCATAAACTGTGTTGGTTATTACTGCAACTTGCAAATACGGCCGTTAAATGCACTGCACAAAGCTATGCAGATGCCTCTAAATAAGTGGCTAATTCATCTAAAAAGTTGGTGTCACCGCAGCACTTCACATATTTTGGCTAATCGTTTTATATCACCCAGGTTTCTTTTAAATCTGCCACCTCAATAGAGGAAAAAGTAAGAAAGAGAGAGAGAGAAAAGAAATCTCTCCAAGCACTCACTTAAGATAGCGTTTCTTCTTTCTTTCTTTCTTTTTTTTTTTTTTCCCCAAGATTGGGGGAAGGGATTTTGGATCTCTTTTAGGGATGTGAGACGACTTTATTGCTGCGGATTTTAAAGCATCTAATTTTAGACCATTTTTATTTTACTTAATGAAACGGAAACGTCCACCTCTGCTCACAAGCAACACCTGTCAGCACTGACTTCTTTCTAGACACCTTGGGAGGGAGTCTGTGAGAGGCTGGGATTTCCCGAGAGCGCTGGGACACCGGAGCAGGAAAGTAGGGAA